GGTAGCACACAAAGTGTTCCTCCGGCAAATGGGAGTTGCATAATCTCATAGTCATAGGAACATGTATAAGTCATGAAGAAAGCAATAGCAACATACTAAACGATCGGGTGCTAAGCTAATGGAATGGGTCATGTCAATCAGATCATTCACCTAATGATGTGATCCCGTTAATCAAATAACAACTCTTTGTTCATGGTTAGGAAACATAACCATCTTTGATTAACGAGCTAGTCAAGTAGAGGCATACTAGTGACACTCTGTTTGTCTATGTATTCACACATGTATTATGTTTCCGGTTAATACAATTCTAGCATGAATAACAAACATTTATCATGATATAAGGAAATAAATAATCACTTTATTATTGCCTCTAGGGCATATATCCTTCAGGTACAAGGGACTCGTGCGTGGCCTCCTACTGGATTGATACCTTGGTTCTCAAAAACTGAGGGAAATACTTATGCTACTCTGCTGCATCACCCTTTCCTCTTTAAGGGAAAACCAACGCAAGTGCTCAAGAGGTAGCAGCGACCGACGGATGATTGACGAGGCGACAACGATCGTGACGGCGCGGCGGCGTGAACATCTGAAGGTAATCATCTAGTGCCATCCTAGTCCGATGCCCGTAGTTTAGCCCGTGATTGCGCCAGTATGGTTAGGGTTTTACCGAGATTGTGGTGGTGATTTTGCTTGCGAAAATATATGATATTTGTGTGATTTAGCCATAGATTTATTCCTAGGCAAGAAAGATTGGTTAATTTGGTTCTGCTTATTTGTCTATTTCAGTGAAATCATGGACCCGATCGAGATTTTGAATGTCTGTTTCCGTTTGGGTGGCGAGTTGATCTGAATTGGTCCTAGTTTGCAGTATGTTGGGGGAAAGGAAGCTATGTCAGAGATAGAAAGAGACAAACTATCGCTGCAGGAAGTGAAGGGCCATTTGAAGGATCACATGGCACTGAAGGAATCAAGGAAGTTCAGTTTTCTGATTCCTGGTCAAGAACTTATCAATGGTTTGATGTTTCTGAATGATGACAACAAGTGTGTGCAGATGGCAGATTATGTATGTGTTGGTGCAGTTGCAGATCGCCAATTCCATGATGCTCCCCACCGGGAGTGAGTAATTCCTTCGTAGGCTCACTGGTCGGTGAGGAGTTGGATGAGATTCATTATGTAATCGAGTTAGTTTTGTTAGGGCTTGATCCCTAGTATCCACTATGTTCTGAGATTGATGTTGCTATGACTTTGCCATGCTTAATGCTTGTCACTTTGGCCCCGGGTGCCATGATTTCAGATCTGAACCATTTATGTTATCACCATTATATCTATGTTCTAGATCCGATCTTGCAAGTTATAGTCACCTACTACGTGTTATGATTCGGCAACCCCGGAGTGATAATAGTCGGGCCCACTCCCGGTGATGACCGTAGTTTGAGGAGTTCATGTATTCACCATGTGTTAATTCTTTGTTCCGGTTCTCTATTAAAAGGAGACCTTAATATCCCTTAGTTTCCAATTGGACCCCGCTGCCACGGGAGGGTAGGACAAAAGATGTCATGCAAGTTCTTTCCATGAGCACGTATGACTATTTACGGAATACATGCCTACATTATATTTATGAACTGGAGCTAGTGCCATATCGCCCTAGGTTATGGCTATTACATGATGAATATCATACAACAAATTACCGATCCAATGCCTACAAAATTATCTTATATTGCTTCTGCTAAGTTACTACTGCTATCGCTACTATTGCACTTGTTACAAAATCACTGCTATCACTGTTACCGTTACTATTGCTGCTGTCACTATTATCAAAACTATCACACTACTTTGCTACTGCTCACTTTTCTGCAGATAATTAATCTTCAGGTGTGGTTGAATTGACAACTCAGCTGCTAATACTTGCAAATATTCTTTGGCTCCCTCTGTGTCGAATCTATAAATTTGGGTTGAATACTCTACCCTCGAAAACTGTTGCGATCCCCTATACTTGTGGGTTATCAGATCCAGAGAGTGATTTTGAGTACATTCCACATAGTGATGATAGTGGAGAAGGTTCATAGGTGGTGGAGCTAAGGAGGCATGCTAGAAAGTTCAAGAAAAGAATGAAACAAAGCATGAGCTGGATTGGAAGAGATGCGTCTGGTCCAATACCAGTTGAGCTCATTGCCAACATGGAGAAACAAATAGCAGGAGAAGAAGAGGATTGGAAGTACGACTCTTCTGATGAGGACTACAGTTATAAGGAAGATTATGATGGAGAGGTAGTTAAGAGAAAGAGCATATTTCCAAGGTATAACAATGACACTGAGATACCACATTTTGCATTGTCCATGGTTTTCAGAAGCAAGAACCAGCTTTGTAAAGCTCTGACAAGGTATGGTCTGGTTACTAAGAGGAGCATGAGGTTCATCAAATCAGAAAGTGACAGAGTTAGGGCCAAGTGTGGATGGGATGGTTGCCCTTGGCTTATCTATGCAGCCCAAAGATCAAGAACATCCACATTCCAAGTTATTACTTTCAATGATGAGCATGAATGTGCACAAAATAGGTGCAACAGGCTTGTGACTGCTAAGTTGATTGCACAGAGGTATGAGCACTTCATACTAGCTAAGACTATGTGGAAAATATAAAGCATGAAAGCCACTGTATTGCAAGACATGTTTCCTGATGTTTGAACCTCAAAGTGCAAACATGCAAAGACAATTGTGATGTACAGATTGATGAGTGGTATGAAGAGTGAGTATACCAGAGTGTTTGATTACCAATTAGAGCTGCTTAGGAGCAACCCTGGAAGCACTGTTATTGTGTGTTTGGATCCAACAAACATGGTCCAAAATATATTTGAGGGTTTCTGTGTTTTCTTCGATGCAATGAAACAAGGATTCAAGGCTGGATGCAGGAAAGTGATAGGCCTTGATGGATGTTTCTTCAAAGGGGCAGTGAAGGGTGAGCTCTCGTGTGCCATAGGTAGGGATGCTAACAATCAAATGTATCCACTAGCTTGGGTTGTAGTTGAGCAGGAAACCAATGCAACTTGGAAATGGTTTGTTGGGCTACTCATCAAGGATCTTGACATCAACAACAATGGAGCTGGCTGGGTGTTTATCTCTGATCAACAAAAGTGCATACTCAATGCCATGCAGGACTATCTACCAGTTGCAGAGCACAGGATGTGTGCTAGGCACATATATGGTAACTGGAGGAAGAAGCACAAAGCTCATGATTGGCAAAAAAATTGTTGGGCTGTTGCCAAAGCTTCCAATAAGCAAGATTTCAACTATTACAGAGCCAAGCTTGCCCAATAGACACCTGAAGGGGCTAAGGACATGATGAGGACAGAGCCTGTGCATTGGGCAAGGGTTTTCTTTCCAATGTGACCATGCCATTTTTTATGCTAGGTTCTATCCAATTATTTCTATGCGAGAGAATATTAGGAAGAAAATATTGGTGAGAATTCAAGAACAGAAAGAGAAGGGTGAGAAAATGACATGGAAAATATGCCCTGGTATATTTAAAAAGATCAAGAAATATATTGCTTGGACACAATATCTTGAGTTGCTTTGGAATGGAGAAAATGGGTTTGAAGTGTAGCATATCAATGGTAGGGGAAGGCAGTACACTGTTGATCTGGAAAAAAGGACATGGTCCTGTGGCTATTTCCAGTTGGCTGGTCTATCACCATGCCATTAGTGCTATCTACAAGTGTAAGAAGAATATTGAAGATTTCATTCATCCTTGCTACTCTGTTGAGGTGTTCAAAAAATATATGAGCATTGCTTGCAGCCTGTAGAAGGTGAAGAGATGTGGCCTGTGTCTGCAAATCCTAGGCCTGTAGCTCCTAAATATGTGAGAATGCCATGAAGTCCTAAGAAAAATGACAGGCAACGAGAAGAAAAAAAGCTCCTAAGGGAAAGAAAATGAGCAAGCATGGATCCATAATTAAATGCTCTATGTGTGGAAATCCTGGACACAACAAGACATGGTGCAAGAAGAACCTGAGAGAGGCAAGAAGAAGAATGCACATCTCACCAAGACTAGCAAGAAAAAGAGCACAACTGAGGTATTCCATAATTTTACATGATTGCACATGATTACTTGGTCATTTTAGTTGATTTTAAATGCTTACACATGATATATTTCCTCACTATTCTCTCCTTTTCTGCCTTGGAAAATGCCAGCAAACTGCAACAGCTAGAACCAGTGCTTGTGGCTCTGCATCTCAAGCTCAATCACAACCAGCTCCTAGAACCAGTTCTTGTGGCTCTGCATCTCAAGCTCAATCACAAGTAGCTTCTAGAACCATTGCTTCTGGCTCTACATCTCAAGTTCCACAAGCCTCTACACCTGGTACCAATGCCAGCAACTTCAAGCCTCCAAGAAAGAGAGCTGCAACTGCTGAAGCTGGATCATCTTCTTCAGTGAGAGGAACTGGAGCTAAGAGAGTAAGAAGAAAGACTGCATCCTCAGTGCCAAGCTACAAATACTTCACTTGCAGTGGAAACTACTAGTTATGGATCCAACTTGCCAGTTCTAGTACTTTTGTTGATGTTGCAGTGTTTAAAACATTTTCAATGTAATGGTGCAAATATCTCTTTTGCGAATGCCCAAAAACAATAATGTATCAGGTTTTCTACATGTTGCAAACACTTGTGTTGCAAACATGCCCAGGTTTATCTATGGAATTCATTTGGTATGGATGCTATATCTCCAGGTTTATGTGTTCTTTTGTTTGCCAGTTTGATTTGAGTTAGATGGATTCAGTAAACAAATGCCATTAAGCAAGAACTTAAGACAACTCATTTGCAATGATTTCATAATTCAAACTTTCTAAAAAGATTCAAACCATTTACCACAAACTCAATCTCATTGCATACAAAAGACAACTTAACTGATCCATTACACATTAAGCAAGAGCTAACTTAACTTGTCCAATACACATTCAACTAAACCAGACACTCAATTGCAATTAGATTTGGCTGCAACTAAACCAAGAACTAACTTAACATCTTTCTTGCAACTAAACCAAGCACAAATATAGTAAAAAGAAACACCACATTATGATATTTGGCCCTAATCCCAGCTATCTCTTCATTCTTCTCTCTCAGTTGATCTAGCAGAGACAGAACCGTGGCCTCCCTTGTGGCTTGATCTTCACTAGGAGCTACCATTGCAAATTGACCTTCAGATCGAGCAACGGTTGCAGCGCCTTTAAGCCTCCAGACTTCATCACGCAGATCCCCAATCAGCTCACTCCAAAATTTCGGCAAAGGATCATCATGCCACTCCACAAATCCACAACCACCATGCTGTTAAGATGCACAAAATATTTCCAAAAAAGAAATCATTTCACAGAGGAGAAGAAATACGAGAAGAATTCAATTACACAGAAGAAAATTAGGAAAAAAATGATTCTCACCATAGCATCCACGCAGCAATAGTACCTCCTGCCAGGGTTCTGCCGGCTCCAGGAGATCCATCTTGGCGCCTTCCTCGGAGGATTGCAGTGGCACATTGGATTCTCGCGGTAGCGCACCGGCGAGCGCGACTCCTCCCCCCTCCTTCCTGCAGCTCGACGGTATCCGGGAGCGGACGCAGCACTCGACGACCACGACATCCCCCTCTCCGTCGCCATGCTCAGATTTCTCCTCCGCTCCACTCTGATTTCACACAGCGCGAACGAACCCTAGTTTCGTTCCCCACTCGCTCGATACATGCGGGCCGGTGCCATTAAGACTTGGTCTTCGTCAACGATAGCGGCCCCACCAGTCAGAATCCTGGTTGATCACTGCCACGTCAGTGCCTATTAGCATAAAACCACCCCAAGGTTTGATTTGGACCGGGATCGAATAGATTAGGGTGCAATCGGCAGGGATTTGGACGTTGGGGTTCATTTCGCCGGATCTCTACCAATTCAGGGTTTGAAATAGACTTTTTCCTAGATAATTTGGACGTGGAGCCTCAGCGACACTGCGTCAGCAGCTATTGCATGAGCCCCGCAGGCAGCAAAGCCCCAAGCCGCAGCCGGTGCTGCGACGAGGCAACATCACACCCGTAGGCAACCACGTGTTGAGTTCCTCCGGCCAACGCAGATCCAGATCGGGTGGATCGAGAGCTCCTAGCCACCGCTTCAGTCAGCGGCGGAGCCAGGATCTCCCCCCTTGGTACTCATTTGTGCAATGCAATAGCAATATACACAACAAGCTAGCAATAGTGTACCAATGGGTCAACAATTCTTTGGTATTCCATGGAATGCTCAGGAAGACTCCCGACGTCGTCACAGGTGGCTGCGTCGAGGGCGAACCACCGGGCATAGCTTCTTCCACCACCATCGCCAAGACCACAGCGTCATCATCATGGAGAGGGAAGCCGCATCCAGGGGAGGTCTAGCCACTGCCGTCACTGTCCGGGCTTCATCCGATAGCGACCCTCGACGGCGGCGGCGAGGGAAGCAGCGGGTGGGGGTTAGGTCCCCTTGTGACCCCACAGCAGGGCGGGGCGCGTGGTCAGTTTTCACTGACTAATCTTGTTTTTCGATTGACCGACACGGTGATGTACGGTTAATTATGCTTCCGTCTGTACTGTTTGGTATGTTTTAAGCTAGAGAAACGGCAAAAGGGTTTAGTGGTTCAGTTAAAGTCAATCTATATGGGGTAGATAAACACCTGATAGTTGGATTATATCAATTCAAATACGCGCTATGTGTGTATGAAGAAAGGGTGTGGTTGGATCTCAATCGACTAAAACTTAATCAAGCCTCGGTCAAGCGACACAACATATAAAAAAATAAAAAGAGAAATTTGCACGAATCTCCACGTAAGATCCCGTCGAAGGAAAGGACAGGATGTGTCGTGGGCCGGTGCCGGTGGCGTTGTCGTGGATAATTTGGACGTGGACGGAGTGTGTGGCACCGCTGTGCTCCTCGTGACCCTCCCCGCTTGTAAAACGTGACCATCGGCGGGGGCGGGGGCACAAGAGAGGCAGTACGCGCGCACTGATGGCACTAGAGCTGTGGCCACCCGTGAAGTTGAAGCCAAATCGAAGTGCATGCGCCCGTGACGACGAGGAAGAGGACGACAGGCCATGAGCAGCAGTGCAGCACTGCCTTCCTTGGCTGCATTGCATGGATCAAGATTAAGATTAGGCGGCGAAAAAGGCAAAAGAGGTAGAGGTACTAGTAGGCGACTCGCCCGTAGAGGGCAGCAGGAAACTAGTTAATGTCGGCTATATAAATAAATATAAATAGCACCATAATGAGAATAAAATAATGGAAAGATTTTGTAAAGTGCAATTAGTGCATTAAGATCGTGCCTCCTAGCTCAGCGCCACCCCAAGGCAATGCTGGTCTGGATTGGATGGATCTTCTTCTTCCTCTCCTCCTCCTATAAATAGAGCGAGAAGGGGTGGATCCTAGTCTCACAACCCAATCCGCCAATCCCTTCCGGCTTCCGCTCCGTCCTCCAAACAACAGAGAGAGACAGGGGTAGAGATCCCCGTCTCGATTCTCGAGGGAGGAGCAACAGCAGCAGCAATGGCGTCGCCGCAGGCGCCACCCCTCCTCCTCCAGGTATGTGCTTATGCTGTACCGCCACCACCACCACCAACCTCGCCTCTGCTATTCATCCATCGCCGCCCATTCATGGCTTCCCTTTCGGTTTAATTTCTCCTAGCACCGCTCGCTACTCTTCTTCCTTTCTTTATGCCTGTCC